TTTGCAGCAGCGTTCGCAGAAACATTGCCGTACAACGCACTACGGTGATATTAGACATGGATAGGAAGGTTAAGCAGCTGCAGTCAAGCAAGACGGCAATTTTAAATTTCGCAATAAATACCCGCAAAACCGCAAAAGCAAAGCAAACAAAGGGCTTTTTGCAAGCGAGAAAGGAGCTTCTGGGGCAATATTGGGCAAAATTCGTGTGTCTTCATGACCAGGTTGTTAGTGAGTGCACTCCTGAAGAAATGGAGGCAGCTGGCATTGCGACCTCTATTGACTTCGAGGCAGTGGAGTGCGTCTATGCCGAGACCATGGGCGAACTACACGATCTATTGGACAGCACGAATTCGGTCACTGATATATCGATGTCGCAGTCCTTCGTACCAACACAGGCGGTAAATCAATCACTACCACGCATTCGAATTCCACCATTCGATGGTAACTTCCTACACTGGTTCCCGTTTAAAGATTTGTTCATCTCCATTGTTACATCTAACGCATCCCTCTCAAACACACAGCGCTTGCAATACTTAAAGGATAGCCTTACTGGAGAGGCAAAAAATGCGCTTGATAACGTCACTACGACAGATGCTAACTTCCAGGATGCGTGGGAGCTACTTCAATCCAAGTACGAGAACAAACGGATAATAATCAATGCTCATGTAGCAGCGATTAGCAAACTTCCTTGTGCTCCGAAAGAATCTGCCTCTGCGCTGAGGTCATTACTTGATGGCGTGACGTCGTCTATACGTGCGCTGCAGGATTTGGGCCGGCCAATCGAGCATTGGGATGATTGGCTGGTGTTCACTATTACTCACAAGTTGGATGCCACCACTCGCAAAGCATGGGAGCTCTCCCTAAAGTCGAACGACGATATTCCAACTTTTAAGGAGCTGCAGGAGTTTCTTACCAGTAGAACACAATCCTTGGAAATAGTCCAAAGCTACACCGAGCCGAAGCCCTTCGTAAAGGGGCATACTCCAAAGAAGTTAGGCACCACCTCTGCTGTTTCTGGGTATCATACCACATCTGGGCGCTGTCCCAACTGCTCCGGTAAGCATATTATAATGTTTTGCGAAGCTTTTCGCAATAAATCGCCGCACGAACGGTATGACTACGCACTACAAGCTAAGCTGTGCCTAAACTGTTTGCACATCGGCCACCAGCAAGCAGCTTGTTCTTCCGAGCGCCGTTGCAAGACGTGTCAAGCTAAGCACCACACAATGCTGCACGACTACTTTGCTTTCAACGCGACTAGTACGAGCAAACAGGCTGCATCCTCTCATAACGCAGTCACAACAAGGCAAGACCCTAATATGCTGCCGTCGGTACTGATCGGCACAGCCCTGATTGAGGTTAAGTCAAAGTCCGGACACAAGGTCGGTTTACGAGCTTTACTGGACAGCGGGGCAGAAGCAACGTTCATCAGCGAATCCGCAGTCAACTTGTTACACTTGGTGAAGTCTAATGTAAAGATACCTATTAATGGTGCTAACGGTGATAGAGTGGCTACAGCAAAGGGGCTAGAAACGTTTAATCTACGTTCATTGAAATCCGACTTCGAGCTTGCATGCATCGCTCTAGTGCTGCCTCGAGTTGGAAACCGAACCCCGACGGTAGCTATTGCACCGAACGATGTTCAACACTTTAGTGAGTTAGACCTTGCTGATGCAACCTGGAATGTACCGCAACCGATTGATGTCATCTTAAATGCTGCCGATTATGCTGCTCTTCTGTTAAGCGGGATACAGCGTAGCAAAACTAGTCTTTTGATTGGCCAAAGTACACGGTTGGGTTGGGTAATTTTCGGCAGTTCTGCTAATCAATCTTTCGTAACGACACGGGATGTGATCGACTGCTATCACACTCAACTCGATCTCGACCGAACGCTTCGCAGCTTCTGGGAGTTGGAAGAGCTTAATTCAACGCCCGCACTAACGCAAGATGATCGATTCGTCGAGAATTACTTCAATCGCACTACGCGGCGAGCTGCAGACGGTCGTTATATTGTGCGGCTACCAGTCAAACCGGATTCTGATCTAACGCAATTAGCCTCTACGCACCATGATGCGATTTTTCTCCTCGATCATCTTCGTCGACGTTTATCTCGAGATCCGGTCATGCGAGATATGTACGAAGAATTTATCAACGAGTACGCATCATTGCAACATATGGTCAGCATCACTAAAGAAGAAGAATGTTCAACGCCCATCTGTTATCTCTCCCACCACGGCATCTGGAAAACATCCAGCAGCACAACGAAATTAAGGGTCGTCTTCAACGCTTCAAGACGATGCAACAGTGGTAAGTCTCTTAATGATTACTCATACTCTGGTCCTAAGTTACAGAACGACCTGACTGCTGTTGTACTAAATTGGCGTCGATACCGAATTGCGCTCACTGGAGATATCGCCAAGATGTACCGTCAGATCTTGGTGGACGAGAGAGATACTGATTTGCAGCGTATTGTTTGGCGACCTAACTCGCACCGAGAGCCAACACATTTCAGATTAAAAACTGTCACTTATGGTACCAGTTGCGCGCCATACCTGGCAATTAAAGTATTGCACACTCTATCTGCTGACGAACGCTGTAACTTTCCTGACGCTGCTCAGATCTTGCTTGATGAGTTCTACGTGGATGATGTTCTAACGGGGGGCAGACAATGTCGAGGATGCTTCCAGACGACGTCGAGAACTGCAAGGCCTTCTCCGCGCAGGTGGCTTCGCCCTGCGAAAGTGGAATTCCAACTCAAGCGCTGTGCTGAAAACCATTGATCCTGTTGATCTTGAAACTAAATCTTCACGGGAGTTTCAGCTAGAGGGAGAGTACAACACCTTAGGACTCGTCTGGGCTACCAAAGACGATTGATTGACCTACGCACTAAAGCTTGATTACACGGTAACCACATTTACAAAGCGACAACTGCTGTCTGACGTGGCTAAGCTGTTCGACCCACTTGGGTTCCTGGCGCCTGTAATTATTCGTGGAAAAATGTTTATTCAAAAATTGTGGTTAACAGGCCTAGATTGGAATGACAATCTGCCGGAAGACTTGCAGACGAAATGGATATCTTTTCGCAACGAGCTTAACACAGTTCCAGAAGTACGCATATCACGCTGGCTTAATACATCCCAGCAAAATGAAACCTATGAGCTCCATACCTTTGCAGATGCATCTACGCACGCATACGCCGCTGTAGTGTACTTAAAGGTTGTCGCTCAATCATCCGTCCACATTCACCTATTGATGTCGAAGACA